TAGCGACTTATCAGCATTCTTGAAGCAAATGCTTAAGATATGCTGTATGTTTCTAATGATGATGTTATGTTTCTAAATTAGTGAAGCCATGTCTGCGAAATCTGCGGATGTAGATTGTAAATGTTCATATGTGATATTGGTTAAGATCTGACTTATATTTAATTGTTATTAGAACATATGTTTTAATCTGTTCGGTTCTGTTTTTGTATTACATTGACATAATTAACGAAGTGATATTTTATGTGCGCTGGAAAAATTAATATGTGATTTCTTGTGCTAGAGTGGTATGCTTACTGTACACTTTTATGCGGCCACCAGTAATATAATCTAAACTTTATAGGATTTTTATGTAGTTTAGGTAGACGCATATATAACAGGCAGATCGCATTCTGCAAATGTATTAAATTATTTCTACACAGAGGACTTGTGTTTCAGTATTCAGACGAATAACTTGTTATCGCATTGTACTGGTTCAGGGTTATTGTCAGTGTTTCATTATATAGATGTGGTTGTTAATATCATATGTGAATGCGATTTCTTTCTGATATAGTGAGCAAAGTAGTATTTTTGCCAAATTATTCCATAATTATTGCTAGCTTTATCAAGGGGACAAAGACGTACGGTTTTTGCTTTAGCGTTTTATGAACTCGTACGTATGGTGTTCCCGTTTTTTCGAATGTTTTCAATTTTTAATAGTGGTTTTATTTTATCATGGTAATATGTGTGTAGATATTGTTGAAGAAGACCTACTTGTTGCATGTTAGCCTTATAATTGCTTTTGAAATAAGAAATAGCTTTGTTTACTACGTCTTCATATACTTGCTTGACTTCTGGTCTGGTTATGCCATTGTCCAATCTATATTTGGTTCCTTTACTCATGATTCTTTTAAGCTTCTCGTCTTTTATTATGTTCAGATCTCCTGTTACGATGTGTCCATGCTTATCATTTACATATTCTTGTACTGTGTCCTCTATACAAGCACAGTTTCGATTGATTATGTCTTCTAATTCTTCGTTGGTAAGATCTTTCAACACTCTGTTATAATTGCATATTCTACTTGCTACTGGATTATTGTACTTATATACGATTCTGATGGGTGTGTATTCGATTGCCTGCATGCCTCACCCGTTGTGGACGAGTTTCGCCTACCTCATATGTGCTTTACATCAGAAGAACTTAAACGCCAACGTGAACATTCGCGTTCGTTCGGCGGTCGCGTCGCGGCTGCGCTGTGGAGCGCGTTGTTCTTGCTTGACTCATGGACGCGAAACGTTGCTCAGTGCGTTTCGTTGATAATGCGCACCAAATGTTGGAGTCTATTGGTATATTATGGGTTCGGAACATTAGGAGATAGGGAATACTCGAAAAAGATCCTTTACCATTGACTGTTTTCAACGGAAACGACTAATCTCACCGTCTAATCACCTACTCTCCGAATCACTACCTTCTAATCGTACTTTAATCTTATGGTTAGTGAGTCCGATAACTTTTATCTCACAGTCTATCAAACATTGGAGTATGAGCACGGCTTGATGAAACTCAAAAAAAATGTTAGCATAACTTATGCACCGCAGAACCGTGTTCAGGTAAGCGACTAAATAAAGCAAAGCAAAGGCAAATGAAAAAAGAATCACTTACGGCAGTGTAGCTGAAGGGTCATTTCGTTTCTTACTTCTCCATCTTGATTTTTGGACTGGCTGAACGAGCTTGTTGATGGCTGCCATAAAGTGGTGACCAAAAAAGAGACGCTTCACTTCGACTTGTTGCTGAATTCAAACCGAATGCTTTTGAATAAGAAAAATCAAAGAAACATGGTGTTCCCACTCATGGAGGTGCTCGACAGATCGTGGACCACTCCGACGTTGTCTTGAAGTCTGGTTGGAAGAGAATTGGGGGTACATAACTACTATTTCTGAGATATATCCATCAGTAAGCCGATCAGAAAAATCATGCAGCTGCCTCAGGCTGGAGCAGCTACAGAAGATGTCTTCGTGCTCGACTTCGATGGTAGATAATGTGTTGTTGTGAAGACGGTGAGGGCAGTGAAGAGAGCTTCCCTCCGCGTATGGAGGGACACTTCAGCAATATTTTGCCGAAAGACTTCTATCGACCACTGCAACCTGTGCGCGTTAAAGCCTGCTGATATGGTCATGAGTAAAGTGTTCTTGCTTTTTTGGCCTTTTCTGTAGTTGCCTGGTCGTCCACTGTACAGTGCAATAGGGAAGCTGGTCGGCAGCGCCCACAACTCCTGAGCAGGCACCGCGTTACTATCATACAAACATCTAATAGGGGGAGAACAAAAAAGTTCGGTGGAATAATCTACGAGCTGAAGCGGTTAAACTAAATTTGGGAAAAATTGTCAAGTTGCCGAGCTCGAACCACAATGTTGTTGAGGAGATGAGTCACGGTAAAGGGTTCTTCAATAGTAGGTTGGGATTGGAATTTTTGAGGGACCGTATCTAGTGACTGTTGGTTTACGGAAAGTACGTCGTCACGTAATTCACTGTTTCAGCAGCCATGCACCCATTACTGCCCCTCCCCAGGGACATGTCACCCCCACCCTCCCTTCGTAAGACCAGTTTCGGAGGGGCTGATAGTGCGGAAGCGGGGTTCCAAAGAATTTTCTCGACACATGAATCACCCTGGACATGCCGAGCTCAATCAACAAAAATGCGAAAATTTTGGCTGGTGAACCTCTTGCTATTTTCTTTGGGAGATGTTCAGTTCACCTCCTAGTTTAGGTCAGTGCTACGAGATGTTTGAGCTTAGGTTAATTATGAGCAAATTAAAGGTGTTCTAGTCTGAGGATACCTGACCTGACGGGGAAAACTTATATGTACACTTCCCGCCACCTTACACTTGCTTCGGCACTCTCCCTACCTTATCGTTTCTCTCATCTGCAACTGCAGCGATTCCTGCATCTGTAACGATTCGATTGAATCAAGTTTCATTTAGCTCTCAATGTATCCCTGCCTATCTATTCCCAATTAAGTCTCTTGCCTTTCATAAAAGGGTTGCACTAAAAACAACATTCTTTGTGTCTTTTGAGCATTTACATAGTGGCATTATGCGGAATACATTTGCAGAAATATCTGCCTTTGAATGCTGCCCTTTCATCCCAATTTGAAGAGAAATTTCAGCTTTGTCAGGCTTTCATCAACTGGGGAGACGTTCAGTTCTCCTCCTGGAGTCAGGTCCCCATAGCTGCGCGATCATTGAAGCCTTAGGTTAAAGGCAGGGATTACGATAAAGAGGGAGCTCATCGGGGAAGCATATGTAACACACGAATCAGTTACTTGGTTGATAAGGAAAGGTGTGGCGTTTTTACAGCGAATGGTGCGTTGCTGAGCAGGACTTCGAAAGCCATCCTCCCCTAAAAACGATCCGCCCACTAGTTTAGTTGGTGATTTGGACGAGACGCGTTGCCAGCAGCGGCGCAACTGTAGCAACTCGATTGGAGCGCGATTTGGCATGATGCCACCAAACGCACTACGGTGAACTCATTCATACGTCCGCTTTCTGAGCTCTCACCTGTTCATGGGTGAAAACCAGCGCTCAAAAAAGGTGTCCCGTTTTGCCTTCTCTTGACGGATTTCTCCGCTTTTTTCACAACTGGCGTACCATTGAGCACCACCCGTCTTTTCCAAACCTTCTTGAATCTACCGTAATCGCTGCCTTTAAGCTTGGGCTTAGGGCTTGCTCAGAACAAATGAGTGGTGCCTCAATTTTGAGTGGCCTGACCTTAGAACTGACGCTTCGGGCGATTCACGTGCTTTTTGCTTGTCAGGTTTTCTAGCTCGACATAAACAGTTGCTGGCTCAAGTCCAGCACTTTTTTCAAACTTATCGATGAACTTCCTAAAAGAAGAAAAAATTGGGTACCAGGGCAAACTTTTCGATGCTAAGACACAGCTAATTCGAGTTTGTGCCCTGTTTCCTAATAACCTGCCTCGACCAGTAAACAATAGCGATCGCAACAAACCGTCGGTACACTGCCGATGTGCGCGCCAGCCTATTCTTACATACCTCAATTGTTTTCGCTTCGAGACACGTGACCGTGCGGAAAATGCAGGGCACTGCCTGTGTGTATACATACTAGCGTTTCATATTTCAGTGAGAAAAATCGTTCGTCCCAGAATGTTGCACATTTCAACCTAACGCTACGTGACGCCCCCTGGTCTTGGGAACAAACGCTATATCACGGCGCGATAAATGGCATTTGGTAACTTGTTTATGGCCGTGTTTGCTTTCTGCATATTTCTCACGTGCCGCTGCGATACGCTTTCTCACGCGCCTCGGCCCGCCCATGTTGGCCTAGATCGCCGTCAGCGCCAAATACGCTGCCAAAACACGGCGGCGAACTAGCGTGGCAACCATGCCATGGCAGCAGCTGTGATCGCGAGCCTGTGCTCAGCTGAGCCTCACAATTCTGTCTTTCTCACGACGATCAGTCTCACTGATGCCATCTCCGGTTCGGTCTAGTGCCAGATCCTATTTGAAGAGTGGTGTTGTGTACTTTCCGTTTCCGCAGTAATCGCATTCTGATCACGCCCTCTTCGATCTATCTCGATAGCATTTATTCACTAGTCGATAGTTCTCAACGCCGTACCGATTGCATGAGCAGCCATTACGAGAGAGGAGTCAGCCCGTCGGCTTGTTGTCGAACTCGGCGGCCGGCTTTCGATGCACTTTCGGATCATTAACGAATCTCTTTCACTTCGTTTTGTTCTCAGCGACCGAGCGCGTCATCGGCACGGATCTCTGGCACAACAGGCGACACACGACTTCACAAATTAACTAGCCATTCGCTCTTTTTGCACTGTGTTCTCATTCGCGTTCGCGAGATTCGCATCGCGTTTGCCAGCCATCAATGTGTTTTTGCGCAAGTCTTATATATCAGCCGTTTTTTCGCCATTCCAGAATTTGCGTCATGAATTCATTCACATTCGATCCTCATCGCTTTTTTCTATGTTGCAGGCCATAACGAGGGGTGAAAGGGAATGTTGGAAACGACCAAACCGCTAAATGTCTACTGTAACAGTGAAAGTGGCTACGATTCGCCGCACGCTAGTGGAGAATCGTCGCGTCGAAATTCGATCGGTTTCAAAGAATATGTGAAAAGTCGGCGTTTCACAATGATTGGCAAAGTGGGACCAGATTGAACAGAAAACTGTTCAGCAGTTTTTGGCTGGCTCTTAAAACTCACCTTCCAGTCAAATCGTGTTGCGGTACCGATACCGACGGGCTCTGATGCCTCCAGAAAGACCAGCAGTTCTGACTCGAGTTTCTACGATGCACCAGATGATCTAGATGATGAGCTTTCGCCTAGACCACTGTACCATCGAAGAATGAGCGTGCCCGAGAAGGTCTTTCACAGTGCAGTGAGTATTGGAAAAAATTTCACCTGTTTTTTGTTCGAAAAAGAAGAGAATAGAATCACGTGCAAAGTAAGTTAGTGGGAACACGGGCGGCGCTGCGTCTCTTGAGCGCAACGACCCTAAACCTTATGGTTAGACTAGGGTGGAGGGGGTAAGCTGTGAAAATTTCGATTTGTGACTTCGCTCGATTTCATAATCCAACTTCTCGTTTTTTGAGCCTCCTTCCTAGGCTCGGACTTAGTGCCATCGCCCTTGAGACACCATGCCGCTGCATGGCGTCCCCCAACTCATTTAGCACCTAAATTACATTATAAAAGAGTTTTGAGATAAGGAGAAGAAATAGAATCTTATCACAAGGATTATTTCAGGAATACGCGATATTGCGGCCGTCGATGGAAGTCGATATTAAGTTCGAGATCGTAGCCGCATTTGGTTAGTAAGAAATTCCATGAATTCAAAATGTTCACATTCCATAGTTATTGATTGCTGATTCCGCAATTGTCGAAAATTTTTGGATTAGCGTGCTTCCAAATTTTGATAGGAATTTTTTTGCGCCAGGCTGTTCTCAGACTTTGGGTTTTCAGCGAGATTGCACTTTTAACGCTGCGCGAGCATGCTTCTGCTGCTGCAACTGCTGCAACAAATTGCATATCGTGACAGTCACTATTTGTACGTCTGTCGGTGAATGATAGATTATTGAGCGAATTTTACTGTAGTCCTGTAGCTGTTAGTGTTATCAGTGATTCCTTTTGACTTTTATAGATCGCTACACTGATCCGTATCGTCATTACATGCAATCGCTTACCTGTTATGATCTACAGCCAACTCACGGCGCCGTGGTTGTCATGGATGGGGAGTTAAAAGTGAGTTTTAAAAAGTGAACCAGCAACATTTTCCAGTGTTTTGTGAAGCAGTTTCACGTATTCGGTGGATCAGTAAGGAGGCATGTGGTGCGACCGTTGTTTCCGTTTACAGGAATTCCAATTTTTGCAAGGGAGGAAATCCGCGGGGTGCATAAAACATTTCGCTTCTGCTTTCACGCTTACTCCGGAGCTTACCTCTAGCAAGAATGGATTATTCGTGCGATAATTGTCGCATGCCCCCCTTAAGGCCGATGTCAGGCTTTGCGAATCGAGCGATCGCGGTCCGTTGCGGTACAGAGCGATTCGCTTGCCACAACGCGATCGCAGACGCTAGCGAAGCGCTCATTCGCAAAGCCTGGCATAGGCCTAATGGGTGACCCTATCGTTCTTTTGAACTACACATGTCATATGTTGTGTTTTAAAGTCGAAGAATATTAGTAAACATGTTTGCATGAATTGGACGACATCGTTCTGAGCAATATTTCCGGTCTTGTGTTCTGCTGAATCAGGCACACGTGATCTCGAGCGAGGAAGCTCGTTTTAACGGAAGCGTTCATGTGAACGTTTCCGATTAAAAACTTACTGCGTGCTTACTCGCATTTGCGATGAAAGGGCGATCGACTGCTTTTTCATAGAATAGCTTTTTCATAGAATTTCGTCAGTTCAACTGTAATTTCGCAGATTCACAAAGCGTTGACCGCCCTGAGTCAATGTGGCCATCACGTAGCGATCGTCTCCAATTTAGACGTCAAGGGTTCGATTTTCAAAACATTTTTTAGATTCTTTAGCAGAGCCTAATTTCCGCTTATAGGTGGTCTCGGAATCATCACCGTCACAGATTGTTTGAAAGCAATTGTGCTGGCATCGGAAGGCGTACAAAAGGTGGCCGAGCAGACAGTCGCACAGTTTCTGAAGTCAAACAATCGAAAGCAACTCGTCACGGCTGATGTCAATACCAGGTCAGCGATCGGAACCCTCTCTCCACTCACAGTACCGCCTGGAAGTAACAAAAACTGGTTTCTTGTGTGCACACGGTCTGGTGTTTAGTATCTCGATATAAGTGCAATCAACTGCACAGTTATTTACCTACACAAGAACCAAGTGTGAGAGAAAGGTTTGATCATTAATCTTTACAAAAGCAGGCCATTCTCGTATGAGCGTTGAAAGAGAGCGCCTCCGACGTAGTAATTTGTTAGTGTCCCTTGGCGAAAAAACTTGTACAGGACATTCGCGTGCTTTTCACGCGCTTTAGAGACAACCCTATTTGTGCCATGACGAAACTGGGTTGGAGAACGGCAAGCGGTGTTTGTTATCACTATCGTAAAGGTTTGCGCAGAGTGACAAATAAAACATTTTAGCATAAATAAGTAACGTCACACTAGCACTAATCAAGCCTTGATTCAGTTAAGTAACCCTGAAATCTGCTTAACGGCAAGCTCTGGGGTAAACCTGGTGTGTAACAGCCCTAAAAATGAAGGGAGGGGTCGGAGCGCTGAGGTTTTCTCTAAGGTGGGGTGTGGTATGTTTGAGATCCACAGAGAGGAGAGAAGACAAAAAACACGAGAGTGCATGCTGTTTGAGAGAGTGCAGAGAAGCAGCCGTTGCAGCCGCTTCCGTAAACTACCGAATAGAGTCGGTATCCGTTTGTAAGGCCGTAGCGCCCTTGTGGCGCTCTTTTAAGTGGTGTCAATGGTGCATCTGCGACTTTCTCAAATGGCTCTTTCTATCTACCGTATGAGTTTTTTCTCCAATCTCATCCCGTACCTTGCCTTTAAGTGACATAACTCGAACGCGTTCTTGGAAGTTTTCGATGGCAATGGTTCCTCGAAAGGAAACCTTCAGCTTGCGTATCTGGCTCTCTATCATGTCCCTTAGATGTCATTGCACACAATCATGCATATTCTCCTGAGGTTTTTTGAATTGAACATCCTGTTTTGCCTGCGTTCCTCACCTTGCGTATAAACATCACTTTCCTTTTGTTTTCATCTATCTTAACCAAATTTTAAGCATCCACGTAAGCAAAAGGCTGTACCAAGTGAGGATGCTAAAAGGCTCAGGCGATCTTGCCGATTGCTTATCTTCTAGCTCAGGATTCCCGATGAAAGCCGAACCAAAGACCTCCAAAGCGTTCCGTTTGGAAGGGTTATCATAAAAAAGCAGCTGGCGTTTGCACAGAGACAAGTCCATGAATCAGGGTGCGGAGCAAGAGGGAGTGATTGAAGACAAACCAAGGCATTTTATGATAGATGGACAGCTTAGAAAGTTTCTCCCTTCATCACATCTACAACTATAAGAAATTCTTTGGTAAAAAAGCTCATTAACATTTAGCAGATCACTCATTCGCTAAGCTCTTCTGCCATAGTTGTTACGGTACTTGTTCAGTACTTGGCATATAGTATCTGTATGAGTGGTGTTGTAATCCTTGCCCGTCCATGTCTCATATTTCACTGGGATAAGTTCTTTGTAACGAAGTCAAATCAGGCGCGGCTATTTTCGTCTGTGTACATTCATGTCAACATGCCAAATCATGTAACACATCTGTGTACGCGCGTGCGCGCGCATGTTGCATGTTGACATCCGCGATGTGTTCCACCCATGTGATAATAACAAAACAACGTCAAAGCCCCTCAGCAGACCACTCAGAATAGAATTCATTAGCTGGACCACACACGCAAGCAGCCACATCCACAACAACCAACGTTGTGGAGCAGAAAAATCGATGAAGTGGTTTATGAGCTTTGGGGTTGTTATGGTGTGCTGCACCCGTGCTTGTGGCCGCGCTGTGGCTGCTGTCGTGGTTGCTGCTGGCAAAGAGGATAACAGTCTTTAGGCGGGGTTGAACATATAAATAACTGAGTGCTTGCTGAAAGTGATTCCTTTGGATTGCGCCACGCATTATACTTCTCACTCTGTGTCGTTGATGCATTCAACTAGGAGTTCGGTCTCTACAATATCGTTCAAAGCTAACCGGTGTTTGAGTCCACGTTTATGCGCTGGCCTAAGCATGCTTTTTGCCTACAGGTCGCTTTTCGGCGGAAGGAGATACTTCACGAGCAACCACTTAAGTGGATTTGATCAGCTGCAAACGGCGCTTCTTTAGCACCCATAGGATCGTGCTATTCAATCCAGCCCAGCTAACCTAGTAACTGAAGTCAATTTATTTGCATCGGCCTCAGTTGATAGAAGGAATAGCTGAGTTGCACATCGACAAACTCGCAGGTTTCGGCTTCAAATGCCGTCATAATTCTAGGTGAACGTCAAGTGCCTGGCGCATTCCAAAAGAGCTCAAGCTGGGCCTGTTCCTTACTCTTCATATACAATAACATATTTACGTGGAATGTTTTTCAAAGCACCCCGATTAGCTCTGGCATTCTAATTTCTTGTTCCGGTTTTCAGTGTCTGGGATGCGGCCAAGATGATATGCTTGAATAGAATACACCGTATTCCTATCGTGCAGTTTGAAGACAACTGCGCCAGTAATGAAGGGAGAAAACAGCAAGGCACATTGCTCTATGTGCTCAGCTTGAAGACCGTATTCACCGAGACAATTGTGAAATTGGTAAGATTTTTTTTGCATAGATTTCTAACTCAATGAAAAAAGTATGTGCATAACTCCATCAAAAATTTTGTGTTCTGATTGAAACGGGAACTTTCTTTCACTTGGTTCGACACCACATGAAGAAGCGGATTGAAGGCGGCGATCAAGATGGCTGGAGGGCGGTGTGGTTCTGGTGACGTCTTTGAACGTCATTGGTTAAAGGTTGTTTGATCGTCATTGTGGATTAAACCCCTGCAGGCGGAGGGGTCTAATCCACCAGTGACATAACCGTCAACTTCCTAGTAATTGTTCTTTATGAGCCTTTTGATCAAAATCGCACCGCCTTCCAATTGTCGTGGGCAGTGCCTTTAAGTTCTTGACCACATCACCGGAGATTGTAAAAGACATAGTGGATTTGCAGCCGAATCCGATTATCGACGATTTATACCAAATATTCGCTATTAGTGCAATACTTTTCTCTCAGAACTGCAAAAAAATTTCAGTCTGATCCGAAACCTTCATTGTGTTCGCATATCAAGCAGAAGACCGTAGCTGAGCGACGAGTAGGGACCTGGAGTCGATTGCAGACGGTATGTTTTGATTAGCTTCCATCAATAAGACGTCGTAGAAATTTGGACCACGAACCGTAAATTTTCCGCTCACAATGAATTCTTACCCCAAGAACTTACTGTTACAGTTCTTCATGAGTCTATTGATCAAAACTATTACCGATCACCAACCAGCCCGATCGGCTACTATGTTGCATGGCCGTCACATGTTTCCTGATGTGTTCGTAGCGACGGCAACGCTTCCGTCTGATCTTTGCTCTAACGACGACGTGTTTACATTTTCGTTTTCAGATGGGAGTTGTTTGGTCGTCGAAATTCTAACACCCATTACGGTAGTGGTTTTTTCCGGAATCCACATATAATCACCTTAGCGTGCATGGGGTTTGGGAACGCGCATTACGTCAATACATTCCTGTTAAGTGACTTTGATAAGCCGTACTGCAGTAAAAAACAGTTCCTCAGCAGACAAGCTGATTTTTGATGTCACGCTTTTTTTTGTTCTCTAGCCCTATTTAGCTGTGACATAGCCTTTTTTGTCGGGACAAGAGGATTATTTGATAGTCTCGACATTTTCAGAGGCGTCTTTACACCTCAGTAAAGTATAAGATGTGGATTAGCCGATTCAGCGACAGAACTCAGAATAGCTCTGATCGAATACTCCTCAGGAAGGTTAAGCTGAGATGATGCACTCGGGCGATCTTTAGACGACGGTGTTTAGCGACGCGATAAATCATTTAGCGCGGGACAGCGAGAACGCAAGGCGTCAAAAAATAGAAAATCGAACCCTTGCACGCGTTCAACGGTTTTCAACAGAGTCATCTAATCCTTCAGCCTGACTTCATCACATTCACGTGTGTTTGCGAGTTTCTGCATACGACAATGTCGAACAATGCACGGCCGATAGCAGCGGCGATAAGGGGGGGGGGGCGATCGGCGATTATTTTGCACAATGGGTTTTCCGTTGTTGACGTTGGAATTCCCCCTCTGTCATTGCAAAGTAAAAAACAGTTGTGCAAACCGTAAGATAGAGAACAGACGAAAGGTCGTCATTGGAAATTAAAGGACATTTTTTCTTCGGACCATTATCCGCGTTGATTGCACGATTGCAGAAGCGTAAAATACATAAGTCCAACCCAGATTTTCATTAAATCAAACCTTATTGCTTTTGTGGAATTCTTCATTTTGCATCAAGGGACCTGTGTTTATTCCGCTCTCTGCGAAGCTTTTTGCTCAGAACACATCAATTTCCACCGCCACACTGTTGCCGTAGCAGCCCAAAGGAACGTGTCGGAATCGATTTCGTGTGCCATTTCTTTTGGGAAATAGAAAAAAATGCGGTGAGGAACTAGTAGAAGGAAACGCAAAAAACACCATAGGAAAGGCTAAAATTCCCCTAGTGAGCTTGGCTGTGGGACGCAGCGCTGGAAGGAGAGGGAAAGCGCGGAAGAGCACGTCATGCGGCCGAGAGGGCGCGAACGTCACGTAGCCGTGATTGATAAATGGCAGCGGTCGCAGCGGTCACGCGGACATTAGTTCCCTTTTCGCGCTTTTTCAGTCGCGACAGTACCACCATCCCTTGTAATTAGGATTCCTGGCATCTCAGTCAGTGAGAGAATTTCTCTAAGGATCTCATCGCGACCCGTGATTCTCAGCTGCTACCTCCCCATTTACAGCAGGATGATAGTAAGGCTGACGTCAGACTTTGCGAATCGAGCGATTCGCTAGTGTCCGCGGTCGCGTTGCGGTGTTAGCCAATCGGGCGATTCGTTGGGCACGAAGCGACCGCGGACGGTAGCGAATCGCTCGATTTGCAAAGTCTGACATCGGTGGGGATATGAATCACTTCACAGTACTATAGAGAATTACATGAACATCTTATACAAATTTTTGGATAGGCCGCGTTGTGGTTCTTTTCAGTGCATATGGGTTACTTCTTTCATGCTGGTTTAGACGACGTGACTTCTAGGCCAATAGTCGGTCAACTGCAGGTGGCTTATTGAAGTAATATGGCGCCTCTAAATTGCATCGATGTGCAAAAGCACTGTTTTTACTCAAGTTATTAAAGCAAGTTTTCCATGCACATAAAAAGATTACTGAAAAAATAATTTCAATCGCTTATTATTCAAGGTGTTATTTATACTACAAATTAGATTTGTCTCGTGACTCACTCCAGTTGCAGTCTGAATTCAGTCTGTATTCGGGCTAATGAAACGAAGGGGAAAAGGGGCTTGTAATTGAGTTATCGGCTGGGCTCTGCAGGCTTTTTAGTTTTGTGTTGCAAGTCGGAATTTAGACGGAAATCGCTTTCTCTTTGTTGCGTCCACATGACTTTGGCGCTTCGGCGATTAAAGAACACCATGTGCTTTTTGTTGTTGAATTGCTTCAACGTGTCGATGTGTTTACCCCGCCGTCGCTGTCCGACTCCCATGCGCCAATTGTTAGGGCTTCCCAGCGCTCGGCTATATTTTGCTACGCGAACTCTTCCGCTACGGCGCTTATCACAAGATGGAAACAATCAGCGATCATTCGTGAATTTCACATGAATCACGATATCGATTCACTTCCCATAGTAAATAGGATGTGGCTCGGGGTTGTGTTTGTTCGATGCAGAATGTGGTAGCAGTCTTTGATATACTGAAGCACAAAAAGGCTTAAAAAAGCATTTGCCGTTGATCGATCCCGTTTTGGGATGCGCCATGCATTCCTCTCCCATTCAGAATTGTAGTGGCGATCTGAATGCGATTTGGCCTATGCAATCACTTGTGGGGGCCAGCCGAGTCAGACAAGTCTGGTTTCAATTAACCGAGCTCGAAGGGGCTAGATGGATGGCTCGCATGGCTCGGATGACCTGGACTACGCGCGACTCTGGTCGATCCCTGGACTACGCGCATGGTAAACAGCACCATTTCCCGCTATACCACTTCTGTCCATGGCATATAATACGATGCAAACATTGCTTCAGCGAAAAAATCATAATTCAAGAAACGTGCTTCCCCCTGAGAGGAGGAGGGTGATAATGAGCATTCGAAGAACTGCTTGGTTTTTCGTATGCTCATTATCACTCTCGTTTACCCCTCAAGAACGAGTGAAAAAGTGTTCACTTGGATTCTGCCCAATGCTTGTCCTAACAGCACAAACTTTCCTATAAGGGTTATATTTTTGCTTTATTGCTATGATGGAAAAATGCTTTTGTCGCTGCCTGAAATATCATTGTTTTTTACAGCGTATCCAACCCCTTTCAGTAGGCCTACTGAAATAACTGTAAGACAACCCTACAAGTAGAGGGCGCTAATTTAGGGTTACAAAACCGTCACTCGTTCGACTAGTCCAGCAATTCACCACATGGGTAAATCAAATGCGCTTTCAAATGACTATGGCATCTAATCGAAGTTGTGTGCGTGGCGCATCTCAGTGCGATCGATCAACCCCTTTCCCCCATTAAAGAGAGTCTCAGTGTGGTACGTATCCACGTGGTCAACTCAGAGGCTGTTCTTGATATCATTCGATGGTCCATAGAGCTCCCCCCGTCCAGCACCTCCTCGCCCTGAGCTAATCGATGCTGGTTGTTTTCGTCGACAAACGCCCTCTGGGCTAATTCAACTACAAGCTCCGCAGGGAGAAGTGGCCACAATTTCCCGGTCTTTCGGCCCGTCTTGGACAGCGTCAGCACGAATGCAGACGTATACGCTAGGATTGACTAGAAAGCGTATAACATAGTATTTTCGAGAAAGCCGTTGTTTACAAGTTCCATCTCCGTTGAGACGTTAATAGCGACTGAGTAAATGGCATGCGGTAAGTGCAGCCACGTGAGGGGACGGCATTCTTACTATTCTACCTACTAAATAATATGCAGTTTGGTGTTTAGTAGTGCTGTAGTTGCTATGTTCTAAAAATACGGATTCCAGGGGGAGTCAAGAGTAATGTCTGACGAGCTTAAGCAAATGTTGATGCTAAGCAGTTAATTATATATAATGAGTGGCTCACTTCATTGTCTGATCAGACTAAAGGGAATGGTCCAGAAGCTGGTCCAAGTGTTCAAAAAAAAACGCGACCCTTAAAAACTTTTGCACGTATTCCATTTCAACAATTTTTTCGTTACAAAGATTGCCGCCGTTGTCGAAATTCTCACAGCAAAGTATTCCCAAATGTCTCCCCATAGGAAGACGCAAACCTTCCTGACGCCTTCAGCGTCTTCGGAGTACGATCAACTCGAGCTACCGTAATACCGTACTGGAGGTTTACCGTAATCGCTTCGGCCTGAGGCTCTTACCTAGCTCTTATATTCTTGAATCGATTCACTGTTCTTAGAGACCTTAGCTCTGACTCTTCGAACCCCTCCCAACTAGCGCTTAAAAAAAGTCGAAATGGTTCACCATCCGTTGAGAACCCTGTAGAGCTCGGCTCGTGCACCATGTTTCCGTGGTAGATTTTCCTAGAATCGCCTACGTAGGAGTCTTTCTTACAGAATGAAATGTGCCTTTCAATATTAGATTTTTTTATTGGCTCTTTGTGGATTTTAATTGGAGCACTTTATCCATGACCACTTTGAAAAGAGCGCACTGTGTTCAATGATAGCGCACCTGTATACTTGCCTAAAGATCATGTCCCATTCATCCGTCAAGAAGGTCCTTTAAAGAGGTCTATCCCTTAGAGACAGACCTTCGACGGCTAGGCTTGCCTGAGAGTTAAAAGCCAAATGTGAGCTTAGGTTTTTAAATAATTACGGTGCACATCCATCAAGCCAGCATTTCCTTTTAGCAAAAACTGGGCAGAAAAACAAGAAGACATCGATTTTATTTCCTTTTGTTTCAGCTCACGGGCTTATTTGCACAGTGACGCTACTAGAACTTGCAGTACCAAATAGTTAGCAGTCATAGCTCATGAGATTCCTGGATGTATAAGAAAAAAAGTAGTTTTCCCTCTACAAAATCACCAATTCATCTGCCACTGTTGAATTGACGATCCAGTCAACAGTAGGTGCTATAAACAGCTCTGTTAACACTTGGCCACGCTATCGCGCACTCTCTCTGGCTGCAAACCTTGCACACTGAATTTAAAGATTCTTAGCCCATGTGATTGCTGGGAGGATGCGCGCATACTGGCTTTGCGTCGCCCTTTTTTGTGTACTGCTGTGGCGTAGTTTGTCAGGTTGTTTGCACCTAGGCAAACATAAGCGATGGGTCTGTGCGTGTGTTTGCACTGCAATCATGGACGCATTCACGCTGGTGGAGGTGAAGGCCGCTCCGGCGATCTGCGCGATACATGGCCTTGCCTGCCCGCCGCCTGCCTGACGGGCCTAGTCATGCGGGTGCTGGCGTGTTTTTGTTTATTGCGGTTTGTCTCTTTTAACAGCAAACGATCG